AGAAAGAAAGAAAGAAAGAAAGAAAGAAAGAAAGAAAGAAAGAAAGAAAGAAAGAAAGAAAGAAAGAAAGAAAGAAAGAAAGAAAGAAAGAAAGAAGAAACTACTTTCTGAGGGTTCTCAGAAAGAATAACATCCCTGAGAAACTGTTGGTGTCCTCTTATCGCTGCCGGGGGCCGGTCCGTGAGTCATTTGGTACCTAGCCGCGAGAGTTGAGACTCAGGTGTGAAGTTTATGGTTTTCATGGTTTTTATCAGTTTTATCTTTTTTTTTTTTTTTATCATTTTTATCGTTAACTGGGTTTCCCTGGGTATTTCCCCGTGTGTTATGAATAAATTTTCTTTTTTTTGGTACCGGTACTGGTTTTATTTTGTTGTGTTTATCCTCGACACCTTAAAGGCCAGTCCGTGAAAATATTGTCGGACATAAACCAGTCCGTGGCACAAAAAAGGTTGGGGACCGCTGGCCTAGCAGATAGTCAGCTGTCCTCTCCCCTCACTTAAAAAATTGCACAGCTCCCATTGTCTCAAGAACATTAATCGAATCCTTCAAGACCCAGCTCACCCTGGTCATGTACTGTTTGAATGTCTACCTGAAACTAACAGACTAAGCAACAGATTTTATCCCCAAGCAAGCCATCACCATGCTGAACACTACTGAATTAGGCAATCAGATCCAATACAGCTTTCATGTACAATGTAACATTGTTACAACACAATCTCAGGTTTACACATTTGATGCTATGGTTACCACTGGTCTTTACATCAGCACCAGCAAACAAGGTAAATCATTGAGAACACAGTCTTGATCACTGTCATCAGCATGGATTCTGTTGTTTAATAAACACTGAAGCAATATGCAATATGAGTTTGCACAAGACAGAATGTCACACTGCACAATGTAATGTCATTGCTGGTACAAGTACATATTTCTATATATGGCAGTGGACAGGAAGTGTGCTGTGGCTTCAGTGGAGATAAACCTCTACAGCACATATTTTAATATCCTGTAGATTTACTCTAATTTACCTCAATTAAAGTAAGTAAGACTGCTGTCTCAGTTTGGTTAAAGAAGGATGCATGTTCATTTTTTCTTTCATATCTACACGTTTGTAAAAACTAAGGGAATACATATGACCTAGCAACATTAAAAATAACCACAGCGTGAATGAAGAGGAGACAGGAAGTAAAGAAGATAGACATTTGTCTTTGACAAGTACAACAGAGTTCGCAAGTTGCAGTTGTGACAAGATGAGAAGGAAAACCAGAACAAAAGGCGATGATTGATCACAAATTATTCAACATTTCTCTATTTTTGTTGCTTCTTTATTCAGGTAAGGTAACCTTTACAAATACTCTAAAACATAATTTTTACTTAATATCAACAACAAATTTTAAAAATACATTTTCAGATCTGAAAATAAACAAAGACACTACATATTAGAGTAAATACTTTATTTTAGTCCAGTCTCATTATTTATATTTCTTTACTTTTTAAATCAACAGTAATTGCACAAAATTATGCGATTTATGCGAAATATGAGAACTGTTTAGCTAAACAACCTAAAAAAAATTTATTTCATGTATTAAACCACAAAAAGCATATAAAGTGCTTTGAGAACTCAGAGTAGAAAAACGCTATATAAGAACTAGCCCATTTACCATTTGATATAATATATTTTTGGCCACTGTGACCCATGGGACACTGTTTTCCCTACTCAGCATTTCTACTTCAAACCAGGCTCACAGTGCATTATGCATAATGCAACTGTAGGAAAGGAAGATCTACATGTACCTACAAGTATTAAAATATTAGGGGGGGGGGGGGGGGCTTCTGTTTAAAGGTAAAGATGCATTTAACATGTAACAAATTTTTCCAACTTCTTTTCAGATTTACTTTATTCTGAAATCTTTATGTAGACAGCTGTGCTTTTGTTACAGCAAAACTGAGTTTGGTGCACACATTTTTTCTGTGCACAAGAATGTAAATTATCTGCATTTGCACAAGTAATGGTAATATTTTTGTTTCTCTTTCATGTTCTCAGGAGCACTTAGTGAAGATCTTTCGCTTGCCTTCACTGTCAGAGATGGAGATAAAGTCACTTTGCCTTGTAAAAATCGGATCAACATTCATCACAACTGTGACACTATCACCTGGATCTTCAGAGATTCAAGAGGCACACCAGCAGTAGAGCTGGTTAATCTTGGACAAATCCAAGAAGAAGCCAAATCAGACAGGCTGAGTGTTACAGCAGAATGTTCACTGGTTATAAAGAAGGTCACAGCTGAGGATGTTGGTCGTTACACCTGCAGACAGTTTAGAGGCAATCCAGGGAAACAGCAAGGTCCAGATGCTGTGGTTTATCTGTCTGTTGTCGTCAGTAAGTATTTACACCACAATATATTTTAGTTCAAGTGGTGTCATTGGAACAGCATATTTTCATTATATATGAAAATAAATATGTGTTCTTGCTTCGTTTTTCTCTTGCAATTCATCTTCACCAGTGACCGAAAAGAAGAACGCTGATGAGGTGACTTTAAGCTGCTCTGTGTTGACATTTGATTGGTGTAGACACAAAGTGAAGTGGATCCATAACAGAAGAGATCTGGATAGAGATTACTCAAATTTAAAAACATCACAGTCTTCCTGCTCTGCTACTGTGACTTTTCTGAACCTTACATATGGTCACATATCAAGTTCTGACTTTAAGTGTAGCTTAAAAAGAACAGAAAATAACAAAGAGCAGCTTTTTACCTTCAGCCATCATTCATCAGGTAAGAAACCAGGAGAGGTTCTGAAGAGCTTATTAAATGAATTCACATTATTTTGTCTAAATACCTAAGATATTATCTTGTTTTATTAATCTGAAGATTTAATCGACTGAATATACAGAAAGTTTTCTAATGAAAGGGCCACTGAATTTTGTTTTTTGTTCAGGTGAAGAAACAAATACAGCAACAACAGTTAAATTAGACACAATGACTACAATAAAAGTGCTGGAAATGGATGGTTCAACAAATTTACCAGGTAATGTCAACAATATTCTGTATCAATTTTTCAGCAAAGTCTTTTTCTTTCTGAATTTTAGGAGAAAATGTTTGTTGTTGTTAGTGAATGAGCAAAGTTTAATCAAAAGTCATTCAGACTGGTGTTAGTAATGACTTCATTTATGGGTTTTAATTTACAATATTACATATACAAAGCAAACTCTTACAGCTTCCTAATGAGTAGTTGCCAGAGTTTTGTTTCTTTGTTCAGATGAAGATACATAAACAAATCATTTAACTGTTATAGAACATACAGAATGAAAGATCCTTTCAATTTTATTCTTTTGTTTTTGGTGAAGAAATATATGCAGCAGCAACAATTAAATTGGAAATAATGACTGAATCTGGCATTAAAGGAGGTCTGACAACAAAACAGCTGGAAATCATGAATGGTTTGAGAAAATTACCAGGTAATGGCAACAATATCTCTCTCTTTCTACAGACTTCAGTAAATATTAAAGGCATGCTCTGATATTTCAGATCATGTACTTAAACATACATTTAAAATATACTTTTCATGTATTCACTCTCTTCCCAGACTGGTCCTGGTACAGGCTTGCCATTGTGGCCCTGGGTTTAGTAGCACTTATAGCAGCTGTTGTTGTCGTCAGCATCTGGATAAGAGCTGGTGGGATTTATTCACATATAAACAGAAAGGTTGATAAACCTGGATTCTGTTTGTGGAAGTTAAAGTTGACTCCTTATTTTCTATTTTTTAGGGAAAAAAGCACAGATGGATGAAAACATGGTGAGTTTATTAATCAGAATGAAAGAGATAATTTTAGATTTTTTCCTTCATTTGTGCCACGAGAACAACAAAACAGCACGACACATTAGGACAAGACAGATAATAAATAGAAAATTAAGCTGGAATGTCTGCAATAAAACAACCTTTCCCAATAACACAAACATGTTGGATTATACAGAAATTTTAGAGCTCACAGTTCTCCTCATGAAGAGGCAGCACTCATCAGGATCAAAACACTAATTCATGGCAAACCTGATAAAAGCTCACATAAGGATCAATGAATATCCATATCTATGCCATTTTCATATATATATATATATATATATATATATATATATATATATATATATATATATATATATATACACACATATTTGCCTGTTTGTTTCAGGAACAGAATTTAAACTCTGCAGTAACTTCGTCTGCTCCAGGAACCATTCAGGAATCTGTGAGATCAAACATGTATTTGTTCACTTATATGTTGAATCTGCATTTTATACATTACTGAGCAGTCTTTATGTTGTCTTCACTGTGCAGGCTGATCTTCAAGATGTTGTTCTCTACGCCTCCCTCAGCTACACCGAGACCACCTACAGCTGTCCAGGTCTTCAGGTAATTTGATTGTTAAGGTTGCGGGGTCTCTCCTCCTACTGATCCCTGTCGGTAGTTACTGCTTACCCATTGGTTTTAGGGCACATGGCTGGAAGATCTGGCGTAGTTATTGACCTGTCTCCTGGGGTATCCTCTGGTGCAACACGTTCTCACTCTTTAAGCAGAGGAACCCTGGCCAAGCATCCATATATAGTAAGGAGTAAGAACCTTGTTGCAGGGCGTGGTCTGCAGTGCCGCTGCAGGGGTGGTGGATGCACCTGAGTGGCAACAAACCTCGCCAATTTAAAGTGTGGGCTAATTCCTGTCGTGGTTGTTGGTGTGTCAGGCTGTGCGCAAAGAAACTGCAGCTAAGGGTTTGTACAGCAACCAATGAATAAAGATAATACAAAGCATGTTCATGTAGTGGGGTCTGCTGTGGTTACATTCCTAGACAGCCGGCCTCTGGCTCAAAGCTTTTCAGTGAAGTGAAAATATTGAACATGGACATTTTTGTGTTTTTCTGAAATAGTTATGTTATGGTGTGCAAGAGGAAATTATTTATGTTTGATTTAAAGAAAAACCCTTGGGAAATTTTGACAAAAATTTTGCATTTCATTGAGAGGCTAGTAATTTTGTCCTTATCTGTTCATATGTAAAAACAAAAAATATTAAAATAAAAAGAAATTGGCTCACAAGAGGAGCCGTAAAGTAAATGTGTTTGTAACAAAAAAGTTTGTTAAAGCTCCCAGACAGGGCAGGTTAGGAAACAAAAAGGAAAAAAAGAAAAAAGCTGTGTATTCTTTTTCAGGTTCCCCATAAAGATGATGAAGAAGGTGAAGCTTTGACCTACATTATATGTCCAGTCTCATCTCCTGGACCTGCTGCCAGCAACCTCTATGCTAGCATCAACAAACCAAAAGACTAAAAAACAGGAAAAAACACAGAATCTCTTTTTCTTTGATAACTTCTTTCTTTCTTTCCATTCTTGTGTAATGAAAGACGGTTTCTGTTTTGTTAAAGTACCCAGGATTTAACAACAGTGATAATATAATCTGTATTTTAATTTTTAATTTCTAACCCAGAATGTTGCACTATATTTTTTCATAGATTGTTTATTGCTTTATCAGTGTACATATATGTGTTTGTATATCTGCAGTTTAGGCCTGACGATTTTATGATATTAAAAAGTGTTTTTCCATTATGTAAAATCCCAAGCAGCCAATAAAGGCTCCAGCACATGAGTTTTATTGTCATGGTACTGGGTCTCTGACCCAGTGTTTTTGTTGGTTTTAGTTATGTTCTTTGTTTATTGTATTTCATGTATAGGGCCCTATTTCAGGAAGCCGGTTTAGAAAACTCAGAGTGAAAAACGATACTCAGGGTTGAGTAACCCCGAACTGTCCAACTCGGAATATTCGGTTTCAGAAAGGCTGATAACAATTAGTTCAGTCAACGCGGAGTTGCTTTAACCCCAAGTTAAGCGCGCGCACGAGGATACATAAAGCCCTGATTAGTGGAGCACAGATTAAGCGAGTCACCATGGAGACGGAGGGAAAGAAGGCGCGGTCAATGTATTTTACAGCGCTTGAGGCCGAAATTCTGATGGCAGCATATGCCGATAACATGCAAATTCCGCGGAAAAAAAGTAACACAGCCTCAGCTGCAAAAGAAAGGGAGCATGCATGGCAAAACATAGCCGACAGAGTCAATGCGTGAGTGTTAATTTAAACATTGATCTAGGGATTTCCACCCATTTAACACGTTATTTTATTATATTTATTTTATTTTTTATTTATACATTTTATTTTGTGATGTGATGTGAGCGCAGGTGCAACCCAACAGGCCCCAAACGTTCCTGGCAGCAAGTAAAAATGAAATATAAAAATATAGTCCAAACAGGTGAGGTGTAATTGTATTATGAGCCATAGTGCTTGGTCTGTTTGTCCGATGTAAATCAATTGCAGTTAGAGGCTACATTAATTTTCTTTCTGTAAGCACTTATTGAAATTATCTGAGCACATTACAAGTACATATTTGCTTACTCTGTATGCTCAAATGTGACCCGTTATAGCCAACAGAAAAAAAGCGGAGGCCCGAAAAACAGGTGGGGGTCCTCCACCACCACCACTCACAGAGGCTGAGCAGTTGGCTTCCACATTTGTGATAATGTTGGCAGCATCACATATGATCTTCACAGTGCAGAGAACACAAATTAGCATCCATTACTATAATGAAATAATTTGTTAGTTTGAAATGCTACAGGGAGCTATGTACCTGTACATTAATGCTGTGGAAAGACTTCCTGTTCACATAGTCTCCTTCATTTACTGAAGGAGCAATGATTGGAATGTGAGTGCCATCTATACAGCCAATCACGCCTGGGAACCGTGAGAATAAATGTAAAATTTAAGTAGTAGTTCAAGTATCACCACATCATGAATTAAGTTTTGTTCATCCTGATACCTGCAATTTTGTGGAATCCCTCTTTGATAAATCTTGTGGGTCTATGACCGGGGAACACCACAACGAGTACAGGAGACGTTTCAGTGCAACTGTAACATTCCTGACTGCCCGACAGACGGTAGCCTTGGAAACGTGCTCAGCGTCACCAATATTATACAGAAAGCTCCCGTTTGCAAAAAACCGAAGTGCAATACAAATAATATGTACATGAACTGAGAGATGTCCGCGATGTCACATGAGCAATATTAGGCCTGAGGATGTTATTCAAATAAATTATAGATTGTGCTGAAAAACGGTAACGTTCACACAGGAAATCATCAGGAAATGATAAAATGTCCAAACGCGCTCTAATCACTCTCTCCCGGCGGAGAGCTCTGCGGAGAATTTGGGCTTCAACATCTACTGGCTCTTCAAGGAAGGGACACGCCATGTCTGACACTTCCTACAGTCAGGTTTCCGACAAAGAGGCGGAGAAGTCAGGGTTAGTTGAAGTAAACCTGCTAGGGGGCAGGTTAGCTTCACGGAGTGTGTCGTCATAGTACTCACTCAGAATTAATCTAAACTCGCTTTGTGAAAAAAAAAAAAAAAAAAAAAAAAAAAAAAAAAAAAAAAAAACCGAAAACCCAGAGTTTTCGTTAACTCAGGGTATACTTACTCAGAGTTTGCACTAAACCGGCTTCCTGAAATAGGGCCCTGGTTTCCTGTTACTTTGCCTTCCCTGTGTCCCGTGTCTAGTTACCCTTGTCTCCATGTTCCTTCTGCTTCCCTAGTGAGTTGTGTCTTTTGTCACTCCTGTCTCTCTGCTCCGTGTTCAGTTTGTTCAGTGTCAAGTCAGCGTCTTTGTGTTATATTTCCTGTTACTGTGACGTTCCCTTGTCTCATGTCAGTGTTTGTGGTTTTGCTTTGGTCTTTTCATATTTGATTACTCACAGCTGCACCTTGCTCCTGTGTCTCATTCCCTCGTTATCCCTCAGTGTATTTAAGCCCTGTGTTTTCCTTGTTCTGTGTTGTGTTGTACGGTGTGTGTTTACCTGTGTGCACCTCTCTGTGTGCTTAGTAGGGATGGGTATCGTTTAGGTTTTATCCGATACCGGTGCCAAATCGGTACTTTTGAAACGGTGCCGGTGCTCAAACGGTGCTCGAACCGGTGCTTAAAGAATGGAGAACACAAAATTGGTCCAAAAACCTCTCATGTTCAGCTGTTTTTTGTAAAAAGATAACAATGTTAGCCTTTTCTGCAGCTATGGGGCATATATGGTATCACTCTTGGCTGGAAGCAGTGCTTAAACAATGGAAAAAACACAAACTTTGTCCAAAACCTCTCATGTTTAACTGTTTTCCACTTTTTCTTTGGTCATTTTAGCCTTTTTGGCCAGGGTGAAGGGAGTATCTGCCATCAAACAAGAAGACAGCCGCATGTAGCTATGATGATGTTTGCTAGTTCACCTTACATGCATTAATGTAATAACGTGGTTAGCCTACTCAACGTAAATTACACACGAACAACATAAGCTACTCACGCAGAGAAGAACGGCTGCTGCTGCATCATCATCCGTCATCATTTCTGCTACACTGGCAGGGCTAGGGGCCAGGACTCTATTCTTCGGGTTTTTGGGGGATGTTGCTCCGGGTCCGATAACTGGCAACCCACCCGACGTGCACGGTGTGAGGTCTCGCAGCAAGCTATCAAATACGGCGCATTTCTCGGCTTTTAAAAAAAACGCTATGCGTCGCCAGGTGTTTCATCGGATTTGGGTGTTACCTCCTTTGACAGTATCACAGTATCAGCTTAAAGCACTTGTTGCAGGCTGCTGAGTTTGCATATTTTGCTGTGAAGTACAGCCAGACTTTTGACCGCTTCGCCTTGGACATTTTTAATCTGTAGCTCTGCTCTAAAAGAACGTACGTACCTGGCCCCGCCTACTATCCTCGGAAACGTAAAATGATTGGCTAGAAGTGTATCACAGCTCAGGAAAAAAAGCACCGAAATAAAGCACCGAAATGTGCGCTGCTTTTCGGTCTGGTTACTACCGTTTATGTCAGAACTGCTCATGACCGACACCGGTACCCATCCCTAGTGCTTAGTTTATTTTTCCAGTGTAGTTTTGTATTGTTTCTCCCAGCCAGCAAATAAAGCTGTGTTTTTTTGAGTTTGCTCTTTGCCTCTGTGAGTCTGCATTTGGGTCTTCTCTTACCAGCACACAGCTAGTTCATGACATTTATTGTTATATTTTGTTTATTTTAAATAAAAATTGGTATTTATATATATATATGCAAATTCATTGCCTCAAGCAAATAAGCAGTGTTTGCTTAAGATAACTACATTAGGACAACTTATCCATTCATGAATCACATTTTGTCATATTTTATATTTGTATTTTGAAAACAGTAGCGATGTCAGCTACCATTTCACACACTTCACATGGGATTTTGTTGGTTGAAGGACCCTAATAGACTCTAGAATTGTCACCATAAGCGCTGCCTGTCTGTTTCGTATGAGCATAACAGTTCAGGCTCAGCTGTGTTGCATGTGTGTCAAGAAAGAAGCAAGCATGAAGAAAAAGGAAGTGTACCTAATAAAAGAAGGAGGAAAGGAACAAGGTTTATCTGGCAAAAAATAATACATTGGGAAATAAAAATTAGCAGAAAAAACTTGTAAGATTTCATTGTATTTTTCTGATTCTAAATGTTTGGTATTGACATCCAAACCATTATAAAGGCCAAAATATAATCTCAGTAAACAGATGAGTAGATTAAATAATAAGTGTAAGTAAAAGCAATAATAATTTGCCATTAAATGTTTTTATTTTCCATAGTTTGTTCCAATAACGGTATAAATTTGTCTTTCTTTTTTTCCACAGTGATTAATTTGCCTTGTTGCCATTTTTATTGACTTCAGCAACATTGTGCAGGGGAATTAGAGCATCCATTTGCTGTTGCTATATGTGAAGCTAGCCTTAAAGGCAACTGATGACGGGCTTTCTGTCTCCCATTCAGTTATCCACTCATCTCTCTTAAAGTAGAACAATCTTGACTCAGGATAAAGAAAGAAAAACTCCAGACGTGTGAACGGCACCTCCTCACGACACATCCCCACGTTAACAGTACATCAATCTGACCCTGCTCCCTAAAAGATCATCGACTGCGCTTCAGCTTCTCAGTTAAGCTTGTATGTAGTGAAAAATCTACCGTCTACAGTGGTGAGGGATTATATTAAACAAGGGTTTAAAAATCGTGTGTACTTTTTATAAAGAGGGTTAAGAAGTGGATGTCAATGTTATGTGACATGAACAAGTTTCCATTAGAGCACTGAAATACCAGCTGTTTCGATATTAAATTTGCCTTTAGGAATTAATCTGTAAGTGCTTGAAATGTAAGCTTTATTTAACGTTGTTTTGTTGTTGTTTTTTCCTAAAAGAATTATCCGGTTTTTAACATACGGATAAAAGGCACTACTGTTCAATGGAAATCTTCATTTTGTGGGCTATTTACTGTGGCATCATTTAATTTGAGTTTTAGAGGGAATTTTTTGTATTTAACTTACGTTAAAAATGGTCAAAGTAACTTACTTTTTTTAACGATATTTGAAATGGTCGCTAGCAGTTATGTTCCCGCCACTGCCTGTCACCATTATGGGTGTAAAGTATGGAGGACCACAAGAGCCACACACATTGAAATAAAGGATTCTACTTAAATGATGAATTGTAGAACAAATTCTGCATCTGTGAATTCATTTGAACTAATTTAACCCTCTGGGGTCGCGGGACGCGTCAAAATCACATGACCAATTTAAGAGGACACAGCTACAAGATGCAGCACGTCAGAGTCTCCATTTCAACTTGAGTCGAAAGTGCGGACTTCAAGCTATATACCAGTTTACCATGTCAGCCAATCAAAAAAAAATGATAAGGCAACATGTGACATTTGGTTGTTTAGGGAGAAGAGGAAGTTTTTAGGGGTGACACCCGCAACGGACAGCGGGCGAGCGAAAGAAAGAGAGAGAGCGAGTTTTCATATGTGAGACATTAGTGACGTTTAGCGTGTTTGGAGGCTAGAGTTAGTTTACCTGCTCTGTTATGGTAACTGTCTTGATTAAAAAATATTTTTATATTTTTAAAAGCATATAAATTAACAAAAACATTAAAGAGTGTTTGAGAACGTTTATCCAGCCATGATTTGAAAGCATATAGCCCACATTTTAACAGACTGGTGTAGCAGTGAAGATGTTTAATCTGCAGTGAAAGTAATATAATAAAAGTCACATGTTGTACCAGCTGTTCCAGTGAAAGGTTTGTCCCATTAGCTTGTCTATATACCTTTTAAGTTACATTTCATCAAACAGTCCTGAGAATCCACACAAATGATCTTTTTATATATTACAGTCCAAAGTGAATGCAGATGGTCTCCTGCAGCTTTAAAAAATCTAAAGGACACTGAGTGTGGAAACGATCTGTGTTTCTTTTTTTGGTCATCATTAAGTGCTAAAAATTCTGCTGCTGATGTACTCACATTTCTACCAAAAGACTTCCCTTTTTCTTCTCAGAGGAAAAACTATTTCAGAAATGCAATGAGGAACCAACACGTGTTAGAGCAAGAAAGAAAACATCTTATCTGTTACAGCTTGGACATCAACAGCAGATAGTTGTCCTCTTCACCTGGCCCTTTCTATCTGCATAATATTAGCATAAATCAAAGGAAGTGGACACAGCATCTCTACAAGAAGGACTATTTCAGAGATTAATTTTTAATGTGAGAAACAGGAAGGAGAAAGACGGAGAATGGCTGAATTCAGGTGGATTCAAATGTTTTCATCAGTGATACTAATGCTTCAATTGTCAGGTAAGAATATTTAAACGTTTATAAATGAGATTACAAAAGCTTAGTTTGTTGACATTATTGATTTTATTCTTTTCTTCACAGCAGCAGCAGCTGACTACTCTGAGTTTATTATCAGGGATGAAGGTGAGGTCACTTTGTCATGTGAAAATGTGACAGATGATCAAGATAAATGTGACAGAACTACCTGGCTCTTAAGTCAGTCAAATAGAGCCGTAGTAACACTGTTTGAAAACGGGAAGATTCACCAAGGGGCCGAAAATAAATCAGACAGACTGAGTGTTACAGCAAAATGTTCTCTGGTTATAAAGAAGCTCACAGCTGAGGATGTTGGTCAGTACACCTGCAGAAGGTTCAACAAATCAGGACAAAAAGAAGGTTCAGACTCTGTAGCTGAGCTGTCTGTTGTTAACCGTGAGTATTTCCATCATAATGTTTTCAGATTATTAGAACATCAAACTGAAACATTACAATAACTATAACTACAGTGATGATTACTGTAAATGTTATTCTTGTTCTCTCTTTTTTAACAGTAACTGAATATAAGGATGATGACACAGTGACATTGAAGTGCTCTGTGTCCACATATAAAGAATGTAAATACACTGTGAAGTGGCTCTATGGTAACAAAGACCTGAGGATGTCACAGTCTGCCTGCAGTGTGACCTTTGCAACATCTGATCATATTTACACATCCAAGAACTCTGAGATGTTGAAGTGCCAGGTGACACATGGTGGAAACGTGCAGGAGTTTATCTTCAGTCAATCTTCTGGTCAGAGAAGGGATACGTAAACATTTCAGTCCTTACAATAACTTCATTCTGTTATAAACAAACAAAGAATTTTTTGGGGGATATGATCATAGAAAAAGTGCTTGTATGGTTGGGTGAATAAGGCGAGCTGTATAAAGCGCTTTGAAGTCAGGTAAAGTAGAAAAGCACTGCAAAAGAAGCACAATTTAACAGACTTCAGAAGCCCGCTCCTACCAACAGTCAGCGTTGGATTCTTATACACGATACACTTACTTCACTTCAGCAAGTTCCCAAAAATAAGCTGTAAAAGAAAACATCCTGTGGAGATGTATTAATGGAAAGAAGGAAAAGGGGAAGTCAGCTTAATGAGGCTGCTGTTCATTTTCTGTTCCAGTTTATAAAAAAGCTTATTTTTTAAAAAACATTTCTGTCAGTGAAATAACATTATAACCAGAACAATATTTCTTTGTTGGTCATTTTAAGCAAATACAATGATCTTAACCGAGTAATTTTATACAACCTAAAACACATTTGATTTTTATACATCAGGATTTTAAAAAGACAAGAACCTGCAGACATAATGTGTTTAATGTTTTTCTTTTTCTTCAGGTGTGTGGAAGTTTATTGTTGTAGCGCTGGGGTTAACAGTACTCATAATGAGTGCTTTCATAGGCATCATATGGAAGAGAGTTAAAGGTGAGAGCTTTCACAAGACTGAGCTTTCATCACCAGGGAGACTGCAGAAACCAGGATGGACTTTTATTCTAAAAGCTTGAATTGATTTTTCTCTTTTTCAGGACACAAATCACAGATGAATGAAAATGCTGTGAGTTATAACACTTTCATGCTATATACGAGTAATCAGTCTTTCTTACTGATGTGATTACAGTCTGCTGTGTTTATGAGGCTTCTTTGTCTGTTTTATTTGTTTCAGGAACTCAGTTTAAACTCTGCAGTGACTCTGTCTGCTCCAGGAACCATTCAGGACTCTGTGAGCTCAAATACTTACTCACCACTTGTATTTGTTCTCCCATATGTTGAATCTGAGCATTACTGAGCAGTCTCTATGTTGTCGTATCTGTGCAGGCTGAATCTGAATACGCTGTTCCCTATTCCTCCATCAGCTACACTAACAACACCACCAGTAAAGCTCAGGTAAGCTGTCCTGTTAGTTATTCAGGTGATGTCAGTTAATAACAATAAAAATTCCCATGAAAGAGCAAGGTAAATGTTGCTATCTGAGTGTTAAGAATAAATATTAAGATTATAATACTATTATCATATCTGCCTTACCCTACATTATTATGGTCTTAATTATTTTGTTTTTTGTGTATTCACTTTCAGGTTGTGGGTCAAGATGATGATGAAGATGATGACACAGTGACCTACATCACCATGAAAAGTCACATCACTTCTGCTGCACCCTCCAGTGATCCCAGCAGCCTCTATGCTGCCGTCAACAAACCAGTGAGAGACACGTGTTGACGAAACAGCTACAGCTCATACAAGCTTTCTTACGTTACACTGGTTATGGTTGCGCTCAGGCCCTTTTCAACCTGTTATTTGTATCAGATTGTGTAAAAATGTTTCTGTTAGGCATAAGTTCTCCATGTTTAACAAAAAGGATATTATACTGCTCATTTACATTTCTAACACAGAATGTTGCACTATGTTTTATCCATAAATTGTCTCCAGTTTGACAAAGTTCAGAATTTATTACTGTAGCAATCCCATTATCCAGAAGGGGGTGCTGTATATTCATTATAACAAAATGTGAAGCAGTGGAAGAAATGATCTAACATCCTCAGACATAATAAAAGTCACATGTTACATCAGCTGTTTCTGCTTGCAGTCATTTAAACATCTATATCTCAGAACTGTTTCAGAGTGTGTGTTTCAAAGCTGAATTAGTTAATTATTCAGTATTCAACAATATAGAATCACAATGGAAAACATCCTGTGATTAACACTCCTCTAAATCCCTGTGCTTTGTGAAAATCATCTCTTTGGGATTTATGATCCTGCAAATTGTTCGTCTCTGTAAATGGGAGAGAGGGGTTTCACCCACTCAAGATGCATTTCCTGCTACTCCCTCTGCTCGACGCAGCAGGAAAACTGTTATTGCACCACACAAGGAAAAGAAAAAACATGGCTTTCAAAGTGTGTGCTGCTTCTCATTGCAATTGTATCTGTGGCGTCTGATACGAGCCCTTTTGGTTTGGCGGTGTGCATAAACTCTGAGTATTATGATTCAGTTTCTCATATTGCAGAAGTAAATAAAGTAAAGTGGACAGGACAACAAAACCTTACTTAACTATCTAAGAGATGAATTTTAGGAGTCACTTTAACAACAACTGGCTGTTAATAAATGAGGAACATGGAAGCTGTGACAGTCTGGTTGTGTAAGAATAATGGCAGAAATGTGAGAAAGAAAGCTGAAAGTCATAATAAGGAAGTCATAGATCGAAAACTACAGGAAGAAGACACGCTTATGCTTTAGAAGCCTGAGAAGAAAGGAGAGACTGAGAGACATGATGGTTACATTTAGATGGATAGAAATGTTTCTGTTCTTTGTACTCATGCTTCAGTTTGGAGGTAAGGATGATTTGTACACTGTACATCGTCTTAGGATTTGAAAACTAACTCTTCTTTTTAATTTTAGTAATATCATTTTTATTTAGCACACAAAGCTGTGGTGTTTCTGTGAACAATGAAAACTGAGTTTGATGCACTCTTGAAAAATGTAGTGTTAACATTTTTGATTCTGTCATGTTCTCAGGAGTACATAGTGGAGATCTTCCACTCTCCTTCACTGTCAGAGATGGAGATAAAGTCACTTTGCCTTGTGAAAATCTCATCAACAATCATCACAACTGTGACACTACTGTCTGGCTCTTCACTGATTCAAGAGGCACACCAGCAGTAGAGCTGGTTATTCTTGGACAAATCAAAGAAAAAGCCAAATCAGACAGACTGAGTGTTACAGCAGAATGCTCACTGGTTATAAAGAAGGTCACAGCTGAGGATGTTGGTCGTTACACCTGCAGACAGTTTAGAGGCAATCCAGGGAGACAGCAAGGTCCAGATGCTGTGGTTTATCTGTCTGTTGTTAGCAGTGAGTATTTGCAACACTATATTTTTGAGCTCAAACCATCCTGTTAGAACAACATGCTGACAAGTTACATTTTGAAAAAAGGAAACTTATATTTATTTGGTATTTCTCTTGAATTTCATCTTCACCAGTGACTGAACACCAGAAAGCTGATGAGGTGACTTTAAACTGCTCTGTGTGGACATATGAACGGTGCAAACACAAAGTGAAGTGGATCCATATCAGTGAAGCTCTGGATAGAGATTACTCAAATTTAAAAACATCGGAGTCTTCCTGCTCTGCTACTGTGACTTTTCTGAATGATGCATACACTCATATATCAACTTATGACTTTAAGTGTAGCGTAGTGTAACAACAGAAGAAAAAAAAGAGCAGCTTTTTACCTTCAGCACTCAGTCATCAGGTAAGAAACCAGGAGAGATTCTGAAGAACCTTTCAAAATAACTTTGCATTAATCTGACTAATTACCTAAAATATCCGCTCATTTTATTGATCTGAAGCTTTAATTGACTGAACTTAGTTTCCTAATGAAAGGTCCACTGAATTTTATTCAGGTGAGAAATCAAATACTGCAACAACAATAAAATCAGAAACTACAACTGGAAACACAACAAAAGAGCTGGAAATCATGGATGATTCAACAAAATTACAAGGTAATCAACAATATTCAGCTTTTTTTTTTTCAATATTTCTATATTTTAGAATGAAATGTTTTAATTTCAGATGACATGTTTTTTTTCCTCTGTATTCATCTTCATTAAAAAACAAAAACAATCAGAAAATGACATTTAAAATATTATTTTCATGCTTTTCATGCTCTGTCTCCAGGCTCATGCTGGTACAGGCTCATCATAGTGCCTCTGGGTTTAGCAGCACTTATAGCAGCTGTTGTGGTCATCAACATCTGGACAAGAGCTGGTGAGAATGTTTGCACATAAGCAAGAAGGGTTGATAAACCAGACATGAAGCTCTGAAGAAGCACGGGTTTATGATTTTGTATTTTACAGGTGTGTAAAGATGGTGAACAATGAAAAAGTCCAGTCTACTGAAGTAGCTTGACCAACCCTCCAGCTTCTATCAGATCTCACTGATCAGCACATCAACAAGCTTTATATTTGCACGAGGAGCAGAAGCTTTTAAAAAGAGAATCGTTGTTTTTGCCTTAGTCACAGTTTGGACAACAATTTGAAATCTTGATATGATCTTTTTAGAACCACAGTGACTTTTCTAAAATACCTGCCTGCATCAGCTGTAAAAAGCTCTTTCTCCTTGTACTGTGTTTTTTGGAGGTGTACATTGTTATTCATCAGTTTTCAGCAGGCAGGGGTAGCTTTTGGGGGTTTTCTGGACCACAAAAATAGAAACACGTTTGACATGTTGTTTTCTCTTTCTGCAGAAGCCTCCTGTACAGCATGGTTGTTGTAAAAAGAAATACACATACAAATATTTTTCTTTTACATCTGCATTTGCTGATCATTTCTGAATTTGAAAAACATGCTCTCACTATTATTTCCAAAACACTCCTGTTGGCACTTTAATCTTGGGTAATAGATTTCAAAGCCATTTTTCATTTCTTTCTTTTTCAGCTGCAGAAAGTTAGTTTAAAGTTTTGAGCTTAGTTTTATGAGCCTGAGCCTGGATACAAAGTAATTTGTATGTGGTCGAATCTGGTCTGCGCTCAAATGAGTTTTGATTGATGATGATGTAATCACACACACAGTTATCTTTAATGGATTTGAACATAATGCAATCTTTAAAATAAATAAAAATTCTAAGCAGAAAGTCTGTTTTGCATCTCTCACTTCAGTCACTTTTGGTGTCTTGTTTCCAGTCTTTAACTCTCATGTTATTTTAAGAACAACCACTTCTACCTGTCCCAGTTCCATAAGTACACCTTATCTTCGTTCATTTCTCTCCTTTGAACTCTTTGACAACCCTTCCCAGCATCCTGTGACCAGTTTGTGCTTTCATGACTACAAATGTAAATTTGGATTGGATATTTGCCCTATCCTGTTAGCTTCTCTATTTGACTTTAAAGTACATTTAAATATGCCATTCAGCCACAACTTTGAGACCTGCCTGTCACAGTCAGGCTGCAAAGCTGACTGTGTGAATAAAGGAGGTGAACCCAAGCGCAGACACTCTAAAACAAAACTCAAGCTTAACAGAAAGCGAGACATTTATTAAGGCTGGTAAGACATTACAAAACAAAAGGCAGAGGTGATGCTAAACAATAACCTAAACTGGGGAAATTAAAGATAAACATAAAAAACCCAAAACATGACGTGGATACGTGATACGTGACACATGATACATGGAACATGGTGGTGCAAAGGACAAAAGACAACCTGACACTGAACAAAGTAGGACAAAGGACTTCAGTACACACAGAGATAATGAGGGGGTGTGGAACAGGTGGGAACACAGCTGGGACAAATCAGACCTAATGAGACAAGGAACACTGCACATAGGACAGGGACTTTCACAGTAAAACAAGAAACAGAGTGGAATCCAGACATGGCAACACAAGCTTGACAATATGAACAAGAAGACAAGAAACATGACAGACTAACACAGATGACTTAAGTAAAACAAATGATAATCCTATTACATAACATATTTAAAGGAATAACTTAAAGACTCAAAGCACTGCCCAAAAGCTTATCTCCATCTATACAAGGACAAGTGACCTCTGAGGAAGTTAGAGGAAGCATGACTTCATCTGTGATATCTGAAACAACTCATTTGGACTGTCTGCAGTGTTTATGTGGCAGCTTTGTGTATCCTATCTCATGTCAAGGCTTTCATTGGGGAGTGTGAACATTTCATTCTGTGGATTGCATTGCTCTACTGAAAATAAATCTCTTGTAAACTGGTTCATTCATTATAGAAGGTGATAATTTATACTTTGCATGTCCCACTTCTAGTAAACTTTTCCCCTAAAAAGCATGATTGGATACTGAAATGTTTAAACATAAAGAATCATTCATCTTCTGCAGCTTTAAAATATCTAAAAGACACTCTGTGGTTTTTTGACCTGTGTCTGGTCGTCATTAGAGGTTAAAACCTGCAGAGTTATGCTGGTGCTGTCGTATCCACATTTGCACCAAAGCACTTCCCCTTCAGTTCTCAGAAAGAGACACTTAAATAAGATGTAATGAGGAAGAAATGATGTACCAATGAAGTGACAACAGTTGAGCCTGTGAGTTTGTTGCCTCTGCACATCTATGCAGATTAATGTTTCTACCCTGTTGGCCTTACTTTCAGTCACGAATAAAAAAAGAGAGAATGAAATTTACAGTAATCTTCCAGTTTGTTTTAATGAGACAGTCTGAGCTGAAAATTATATGATTCAAATGTTTACTATTAACAACATAGCCATGAGCCACAAAAAACAAACAAACAATATGTTGAACTTTCTGAAAGTGTAATAACCAACACCCTCAGCTGTGAGAACAGTTTGCTGTTACACTTAGTTTAAATGTCTAAAGGACATTTAGTGTGTGAAGCGTCTGTGTTTCTGACGGTAACACTTCTACATTTTCACCAACTCTGCCCCTTCACTTCTCAGAAAAACAACACTTCACAGACACAGTGAGGGACCAACAAGTATCAGAGCAAGAAGACATAGTCTTACCTTCACAAACGGACAGTGGGATTATCATAAGTCACTGAGCAACATTCGGCTGTCTGTTCTACGTGGTCGTTTTAGTTTTACAGGGTTTGAGGGCCTGCAGTGACCTGTGACCTCTTTAATATTGTTTCGTTCCCCAGCCATTTTATAAACAACAGAAATTGTCAGAGAAAGGACTTCCTGAACAGTTAGCGTGAGATAGTGAGATAACAACCACAGGAACCGCCACAGGGAGCACGACTTTAAAGTCTGCGACTGTCATTACTGTGAGAAACAGGAAGGAGAAATACCGAGAAGCATGATGGCTGAATTCAGATGGATTCACATGTTTTTATCAGTGATACTAATGCTTCAATTAACAGGTAGGAATACAGATACGTTTATAAATGAGATTACAAAAGTTTACACTGAGGACATTATTATTATTATCATCTCAGCAGATTCTGAGTTCTATGAATGTATTACCTCACTAATAACAGGGAAGTTGATACACTTATTTTTCAGAAGCTCAAGAAGAAAGTGAGAAAAGAGAGACTAAGAGAAATGACGGTTAAATTTATTTAGCTTAAAGTGTTTTTATTGCTGTACCTGTGCTTCAGTTGGTAAGGATACATCCAACATGTGTATAAGAGAAAGATTTAAAAACATTTCCAGCTCAGTGCACTAGTGAAAATGAAAAAGATACAAATGCATACATGTGTGCATAACTATGCAAAATTATCTGCGCTCTGACATGCAGTGTTACCTTTTTGATTCTTTGTCGTGTTCTCAGGAGCACTAAGTGGAGATCTTTCACTCTCCTTCACTGTCAGAGATGGAGATAAAGTCACTTTGCCTTGTGAAAATGTGATGAAGAATCATCACAACTGTAACGCTATCAACTGGCTCTTCATTGAATCAAGAAGCACACCAGAAGTAGAGCTGGTTAATCATGGACAGATCAAAGAAAAGGCCAAATCAGACAGACTGAGTGTTACAGCAGAATGCTCACTGGTTATAAAGAAGGTCACAGCTAAGGATGTTGGTCGTTACACCTGCAGACAGTTTAGAGACAATCCAGGGAAAAAGCAAGGTCCAGATGCTGTGGTTTACCTGTCTGATGTCATCAGTGAGTATTTACACCACACCACACCAGACCACCAGTATTTACAAGCTGTGAACAACTAAACAATATGCTAACACATTACTTTTTTTTTTTTTAAATGTTTGTTTGTTTGCTTTTTTCTTGGAATCTTCACCAGTGACTGAACAGAAGAACACTGATCAAGTGACTTTAAACTGCTCTGTGCAGGTACATGGACATTGTGAACACAAAGTGAAGTGGATCCATGACAGTGGAGGTCTGAATAGAGATTACTCAAACATAAAAACATTACAGTCGCCCTGCTCTGCTGCTGTTACTTTTATAAAGTCATCATACAGTCACATATCTAACTCTGACTTTAAGTGTAACGTAACAACAGAAAAAAACAAAGAGCAGCTTTTTACCTTCAGGCCTCATTCATCAGGTAAGAAACCAGGAGAGATTCGGTTGAGAAAATTACTTTCAACTGATGTGAGGAAAAAACTTTAATTAGCTGAATTTGATCTTTTGTTTGAATGAAGATACAGTAACATCAGCAACAACAACAACAACAAGAAAAGTAACAACAACAAGAACAACAAGGACAACAAGGACAACAAGAACAAAATCACAGACTGATGACCCAGGTGATTTTTCTTTTTTTTCTTTTTTTTGGAGGGGGGTTCAAAGCAATGATTGAATAGTTTTTTGTTAAGTCACATGCATGTTATATTTGCAACTTTTCTACCTCTTAGACATTGAACAGTAAATGAAATGCTTCAGATATTTGTGTTCAGGTGCAGCTCTGGTGTGGCCGTACATCCTCGTGGCTGTCATTTCAGCCGCACTTTTAATCTTTGCTGTGAAACTGATTGTACTGAAGAGAGGTGAGAGAAAATCCCACATTAAATATTAAAGCTGAATCTTCTCTGTGGTCAAGTGTGTAATCCTGTTTTTCTTTTCTTTTCAGGGACCAAAACACAAGCCAATGAAAATGTGAGTTTAAAAATAATCTTTACTAAACATTTTAATTCTAGATCAGAAGTGATGCAGTGGTTGGTGCAGCAAAAGATCAAGAAAAGAAAAAAAGAGGGTGCAAAATTCATTTTTGCTTTGATTTTATAATTATTAACTCCAAAAATGACCTCAGCCTATGTGCAAAGTCCTTTCTGATCACAAAAAAGACCCTATGGTACTGGTAGTTGGACTTTTGTGTTGCATTTTATGTGTTTTATATCATTATCTATCTATGATTGTTGCAGATGTTTAAACACTCAAAAGTAACTGGAAGTTGCACTGATGTAATGCATATATTTATTCAGGCTTGACTTCAAATCCTTCAGTCATTTAAAAAATAATAAGGTCAAACTCACAACTTCTGCTGTTTGAATTTGTTCTTCAACATTATAAAACTAACTTTACAACATGAGACTGTGCAAGAGATAGATTTCAAACTGAAGGGAAGTGAACTGGTGCTGTCAAACTAAGCCAAAAGAAGTGGTAACACATTTTGAGCGATAACATGACATCGTTGGCAGAGACGGGTCAGTGTAAATCCTCCTGCATCTCAGAGGGCAGTAATCATGTTTTCTTTACTGTGTAGGCGGATCATGAAGATGGTGTTTCCTACATCTCCATCAGCTACACCAACAAGGCTAACAGTGAAAATAAAGTAATGCATATGATATGTTTCCGGCTTCATCAGTGCATTAGTAAATGATGTTTTCACTGTGTTGTGTTACATGTGGTGAAACATCCTGTGGTCTGTGTGCTTCCAGGTTCGGGATAAATGTGAGAGTGATGAGACAGTTACCTACTCCACTGTGAAAGCTTCCTCCACAGATCCCAGCAGCCTCTATGCTACCATAGAGTAAACAAAAAGGAAACTTAATCATCAGGTCATTGCTTCTGTGAAAAAGCTTCGTCCCTATAAGAATTATCGGTTTGCTCAGTTTAAAAGGAGGAAGCAGTTGTGTGAGTGCTTAAAAAGCAGAATTTGTGACACATTTTGTTTTGTAACATTTGAAAGGCTTTCAGTTTTATTTTATCTTTTGTTCAAAGTTTTGAAATGATGTACATAGATGTGTTTATTTTGCTATTTGCCTGTAAATTTTCTAAAACTGCAGTAATTTATAAGTTTAGTTTCATTTTTTCCATAAACAATTATTCAAACATTTGTGTCTCATTACTCTAAGCATCAAAAGCAGGATTAAATGGAATCAGGCATGAGAGGGAGAGGATATATCTTTACCTGTATGAAAAACACAATTTTACATGAATGAATGAGAAAGTTTTATTATGTTGGTTGCATTTCTCTACTGACAACAAACCTTCCCTCTGGTGAGCAGGTTTTTTCACAAAGGGCTTAAACTTATCTAAATGAAGAAATTCAGTTCAAGACACCTGAGATTGATCATAAATCAGGACACATACATATGAGAGTTAAAGTGAAAGGAGACAAGATCCACTGCAAGTTTAGAATATCTAAAGGACACACAGGCTACACACACAGTGACATTAAACTGCTCTGTGTCCACATATGAAGAATACAAATACACTGTGAAATGACTATATAACAATGACAATGGCGTGTGGATATCACAGTCTACCTGCTCAGCTAGTGTGACCTTTACAACATCTGATCATATTTACCAATCCAACAATTGTTGGAGATTTTGAAGTGCAAAGTGACACATGGTGGAAAAGGTGGACGGTGCATGTTTTTCCCATTGACTGACTTGGAGAGTGGCCTAAAAAGTAAATAACAGCACAGGTCAGTGTTGAACAGATTTAAGCACCTGCTCCGATCAAAGTTTAGTGTTGGATTATTTAGACCTTGATCAGATCAATAACATTGAACAAATACATTTATTTCATTACATGACAAACTTATTGTCATCTGTGAAGTCAGTGAAAACAGTTGTTCAGTAAAGTTACAGTCATGACCACAACCATACCCAAGTATATTACTTTAACCAGGACTAATGAACTTTCCCTGAACCTGCAAACGTTTTTGGACCTTAGGTGTTTTTTTTAACCACAAGGGTGTATAGACAAAATACAACAATAGGAAACCCAACAACAGTGTTTTCAGTTTGGAATTATATTGGATATTATATTATTTAGATTTATATATTATATTTTCTATTATATTTTCTGTTCTGTCTTTTTTGGATTGTTCTCTTTTATTTGCAGTTTTATTTTTGTTGCCTGCACTTTCTAATAAATTTCACTTCCTTTGTATTTGCCTCCTTGATTAGTCGCAGCAGTGTTTGTTTTCCCATCTAGTTTACCTTCCTTCATTTCCTGTTGTGTATTTAAACACACGTTGCTATTGGAGTGTATACTTGCTTAATCGATTAGTTGCGGCAGTGCTTGTTTCCCTTTCATTTCCTGTGGGTGTGACCACTCATTCTGTTCGATGCTTACTGTCTGTCTGCTTATGAGATTTCCTGTTGTATATTCAGCTTTGTTTGATGGATATTGTTATCTGGTCCCTGTTGGTTTTTTCCTTGCCCCAATAAAAGTTTGGCTTTTGTTTTGGATACACACTTTTCAATCAACATCACTGTTTTGTTATTAGTTTTATGTCTACTGGAGTGTATAATGGAAGATGTTAGGCTGAAGTTCCCCATGTAACAACCAGTTTCATTTATTTTTGTAACAATTACTGTTGTCCAGAAGGGGGTGCTGTATAATAATTGCAAGAAACTAAGCTACCAAATAGACACATACACTAACTGGTTTAAAAAAAAAAATACAATAGAAAATGAAGAACTTTTTTTTTCATATTTTATTTTTTCATAAATGAGTGTTCTTTATGTAAATAAGACGCCTGTGATGTTTCTTTAAGCAAAGCAAATTAAAATAAAACTGTTGCAGTCCAAAAAATGAAAAAATAAACATCCAAATTCAAACTCTCTCTGCTTAAGTATGTCATTAATCTGCACTCTGAAAAGTAATGGTGACATTTCTACTTCTCTGGCATATTCTCAGTAGATCTTTCTCTTTCATTTACTGTCAGAGACGGAGATGAGGTCACTTTGGAGTAAAGGAAAACAAAGGAACAAAGGAAGCAAAACCCAAGACAATGCACACATGGAACATGTTGTGGAGGTTTTCCATTTAAATAAAGCCTGCAGACGAGCGGTGAGCGGTAGCTAACATTCTTTAATCCAAACACACAAAGAACAGAAAACCAAGCTTGTGGAGAGCCTACATGACCGCGGGGCAGGTCAGCAGAGTCTCACATGAGCCTAGCATGTCTCTCAGTTAAATACCTTCTTCAGGAACAAAAGGCAGTACACAGCTGTTTCACACATTAAGGTTCACACTCCCTTGTGGAGTGGTCTGCTTCCCCCAACTTCCTTATAACACCTCCACCATTTGTCTTACAGTATGGGTGTCAGACATGTTAAAATCCAGTGGCACCAAGGCATTATACAATAAAATAATGTGATTAATACATAAGTAAAAGAAATTCCTATGCAAACACATGCTCAACAAAATAAGACAGGAAATGAGAAAGCTAAACAGGGGTGCTAGTTTCAGTCATTATGCAAATCCAGTGTTATAAGGATGGGGAAAGGATGAGACTAAAGCAGTCACTTGAATGAGTGGCACTGAAAATGTGAAAACCTACCACTGCATCCACATGAACAGAACTAGCTTTTACACTAAGGGAGGAATAAAGCCAAAGCAACTAGGACCTGAGAACTAAATACATTTTTTTAGGTTGCAAGAAAGTAAAGCAATCTAAAATACAAAATATTCCCACTTATGTTTATTCTGGTCATTTGTGGATAACACCTCCCCCGCTCTGCTGCTGCTCATTAAAAATGAATTAAACAAGCTAAATCATTAAGAGCAAAGTCTTGCTTACCATCACCAACATGGATTCTGTTAAACACTGAACAAGCAATATGAGTTTGCACAAGACAATTGGTACAAATGCATACTTTGATATATGGCAGTGGACAGGAAGTGTGCTGTGGCTTTAGTGGAGATAAAACTCTACAACACATTATTTAATATCCTATAAAATTACTCTTATTTACCTCCACCAAAATTAGTAAGACTGCAGTGTCAGTTTGGTTGAGAAGGGGTCTACACATTTGAAAAACTGAGGGAATTCATATGATCTACATTAAAAAATAAATACAAGAAATAACCATAACATTGAAAATAACCACAGCCTGAATGAGGAGGAGACAGGAAGTAAACTAGATAGGCATGTGTCTTTGACAAGTACAACAGAGTTTGCCAGTTATAGATGTGACAAAATGAGAAGGAAAACCAGAACAAAACGTGATGATTGAACACAAATTCTTCAACATTTCTCTGTTTCTGTTGCTTCTTTTTTCAGGTAAGGAAACCTTTATTTACAACTAAAACCTTTTTGCTATTTTACTTAATCTCAACAACAAATTTCAAACACACATTTTCCGATATGAAAACCTCTGAAAACCTCTTCCTACTGTACCATACTGTACTTTATCAGCATCTAACTTACTGAATAGATTATTGTTAAGATTAATAGATGCATGAAGTCGTTTTGAATAATTCACTGTCTTAATGATAGACGTCTGATATTGATAAGTATGTTCAGTTACAATAGTCACCAAACTCTTGTTTTGTCTCAATTATTAGGTGTAATTTCTACATCAATTTTCTTTTACCTACTTTAGCTTTTATGCTGTGATACTTTCTGTTTGCTTTCTGCATTTATTTTTATATTCCTCCTTTGGAGTCTTTGGGGAGCAAATCAGCTGAACTTGTTGTTTTGAACTGGTTGTTAAGTAATGTGAGAAGAGTAAGCTGAAAGTCTTTATGAGGACATCATGATTCACCAATTAAAGGAAGCTCTCCGTGTATCTAGATGTATTACAAGGTCTGTGTTTTTTTTATATTTGTGCTTCAGTTTGAAGGTAAGGATACATGTAAGATGTAAGAGATTTTTTTCTTCTTTTGAGTTTTACTTTATTTTGAAATCCAAGACAGCTGTGCTTTTGTTTGACAACCCAAATCAAGTTTTTTGTTAGTTCTTTTGTAATAAGAATGTAAATCGTCTCCGTTCAGACAAGTATTGTTTTTTCTCTCTGTTATATTTTCAGGAGATCTAAGTGGAGATCTTTCACTCTCCTTCACTGTCAGAGATGGAGATAATGTCACTTTGCCTTGTGAAAACATGATCAAAAACCATCACAGCTGTGACACTACCACCTGGCTCTTCACTGATTCAAGAGGAAAAGCAGCAGTAGAGCTGGTTAATCTTGGACAGATCAAAGAAACAGTCAAATCAGACAGACTGAGTGTTACAGCAGAATGTTCACTGGTTATAAAGAAGGTCACAGCTGAGGATGTTGGTCGTTACACCTGCAGACAGTTTAGAGGTAATCCAGGGAAACAGCAAGGTCCAGATGCTGTGGTTTATCTGTCTGATGTCATCAGTGAGTATTTACACCACAATATGTTGGAGTTCAAACTGTGTTGTTAGAGCAACATCATGAAACATTACATTTAGTGAAAAGAAATGTATTCATACTTTTTAATTCTTCTTGCGTTTATCTTCACCAGTGACTGAACAGAAGAGCAGGGATCAGGTGACTTTAAACTGCTCTGTGCAGGTACATGGACATTGTGAACACAAAGTGAAGTGGATCCATAACAGTGAAGGTCTGAATAGAGATTACTCAAACATAAAAACATTACAGTCGCCCTGCTCTGCTGCTGTTACTTTTATAAAGTCATCATACAGTCACATATCTAACTCTGACTTTAAGTGTAACGTAACAACAGAAGATGGCAGAGAGCAGCTTTTTACCTTCAGCCCTCATTCATCAGGTAAGAAAGGAGGAGAGATTTTAATGATTATGATAAAATTTTGAAAGTAACTTCACATTATTTGCTTATTTTAACAACTTAAAGTTTTAACTGACAGACAATTTATACAGACAATTTATTAGTGAAAGGTCCACTGAATCTTCTTTTTTCATTTAGGTGAACAAACAAACAAACAAACAATTACAACAACAACAGTTAAATTGGAAATCACAATTGGAAATACAGTAAGAGCAGGTCTGGGGACAAAAGAGTTGGAAAGCATGGAAGGTTCAAGAAAATTACAAAGTAATGCCAACTTGTCCTCTGTATCATTTTTCCTCCGCTTTCTGAATTTCAGAATGAAAAGTTTGAGGTTTGTGTTGTGTGTTTTGCAAAGAAAAATAAATTTAAAATATGCTTTTCGTGTTTTCTTTATCTTCCCAGGCTGGTCCTTGTACAGGCTCATCATTGTGGCTCTGGGTTTAGCAGCACTTAATGCTGCTGTTGTGATCGTCAACATCTGGATAAGAGTTGGTGAGAATAATCATATATGAACAAGATTTTGTTTGTGGAAGCTAAAGTTGACTCCTTACTTGGTCCTTTTAGGGAAAAAAGCACAGATGGAGGAAAACACGGTGAGTTTGTTAACTTTTTTCGGACAAAGTATACACAATAAATAGGCGATCACACTGAATTGTGGATAAAACTGTATTTTCTGGCTCATGAACAAGTAGAACCCATCAGGATAAAAGAAAATCTTTACTTTGTCGGCTTATTAGTCTGATTGTGCTAAATGCAAAATGCAGTTACAGTTTTAATGACGTTCATTGTTCTGTATTTCACAGATGTGCAAAGATGAGGTTGATGATGGAGCAGTGAACTATGAAAATGTCCAATCTTCTGATGAAGTTTGACCGAGCCTCCTGCTTCTGGCAGATCTCACATATCAGCACATCAACGTGCTGTATATTTCTTTTTACCTTCATACTCAACCTTTTAAACAGAGACTCGTGCTCTTGCTTCAGTCACAGTTTGGATAACGATACTGAAACTGTGATACTCTCCTACTTTGAAAACCAAAGTGACTTTTATAAAAATAACTTCCTGCGTCAGCTGTAAAAAGCTTCTTGTTTTGTTTTTTGAAGTGACCAGTATTTTTAATGGTTTTTCAACATTTATGTGCTTTGTCTCAGAATCCTTGAGCTTAGTTTTATCATTCTGTGTGAGGAAGAGCTGATTTAATCAGAACTACACATCTTTCTGCTTCCGTAATTACCCCCTGCTGTTCCCCCCTTTTAGAAAGGCTGTCCTTCTATTGTACACGCATAGTCAACACATCAAAGAGGAGACTTCAAACACACAAAAACTAAACAAAAAATACAACTTTATTCGTTTATTTTGTAATAATTTTGACTTGAATGTAGCTCATTTTCATTAGAAAAAAAGAGACTTGAGAGAAACACATTTTTATGAAAGTCAGGCATTTTGATTTAATATTCACATTTTGTTTTGATTGCCACACAATAGCTACACTTGTTCTAAAGGCTCACCAGCTTTTACACATTTCCCTGAGCGATGGCTTTCTCACAAAGTTTACACATGCAACCCGGACAGGTATTATGCCTTAAGTGTTACGGCTGCACAGCAGTCGTGTGGTGTATTGAAAAAAGGATCCAAAATGCAGGTACCGACTGGGGTGCGAGTGAGTGTTTATTTACAGCGGTGAGAAGGTGACAAAACAGGAAGAGCAGAGCGGGGAGTAAACAAACCTAAACTGGGAAAACTAAAGAACAAAACTTAAACCAAACACTCACGGGAGGAGGAGCGAAATGCACAAAGAAAGATGGCAGAGAGACGCAGAATGAATACCAGGTAACAGAATAATGCAGACTGACATGGACCTAAACAGACGACGCGACAGAGAGCACAGGAAAACACAGGGCTTAAATACACGGGGAGTAATCAGGGAATGGGCCACAGGAGGGAGACACAGCTGGGAGCAATAAGGCTAACGAGACAGGGGAGAGGTAAAACTGAACACACTGACATGAGACATGAACTTTCAGAATAAAACAGGAAACTAACAGACACAGAGAACCAGACAGGACACTGAACTTGACAGGCAGACTCATGAGCAGACACAATAACACCATGGACAGACAGAGGGAACACAGAGAAGTGGGAGCAGGCAGGCAAAGAACAGAAACCTAACAAATGGCAAAATCACAACAGAATACACACTCGGAATGAACAAAAGCATAAAGAAACACAAAACACTGAGTCCTCAGACTCAGGACCATGACCAAAACACTGAGTCCTCAGACTCAGGACCATGACAAAAACACTGAGTCCTCAGACTCAGGACCATGACATTAAGTCACAGCTGCAGACTGAGATTCTTGTCTCTGTCTCAGTGCTACTACACACATTTGATGGACTAACAGGTTGTTCCTTCATCTCTTCCATCAGGAACAGAGCCCTCTCTCCCAGAGAACTGCAGCCACCGCTGAACAGCATCATTCCCAAAGTCAACAAGCTTTGCAATAGCTTTAAATGTCTGCATTAAAATGGGAAAGTCTGACACCATTATCCTCAGTCAAAAATCCTTTTTAAGCTGCTGTTTTTCCTAGTTAAGCCTACTTTGTGTGCCCAGGGACATCCAATGTATATTAATAAACATATCTGTGACAAAAGGGATGCTGCTCTGTACAAAAGATTAAAAAAAAAAGTCAAAGTAAACATCTGTCATTTCCGCTATATACAGTATAGTATATAGAGAGACGAGACTACGAGGCTCCAATTACATCAGTGCAAATAGATATAAAAACAGTAAGAAAATAGATATACACTTTATACACTAAATATAAACAAAAGTACATCTTTGTGTTTCCATTTAAACAGAAAAAAAACGTGGCACAGAAAACAGACAGATGAAATGGGATGGAGAAGGTGTACATAAATTATATAACATACCACAGTACATTGTACTGTGCGAAAACCTGCACTGATCTGACCTAATTTCTTCCTCATCCTGATTCCTGACCTGGCTAAGGTGGTTCTGGCATCTGACAAGGATTCCTTCTAGGCGTCTCCCTGGTGAGGTGTACTGGCCGTGTACCACCGGGAGGAGGCCCTCGATCAGACCCAGGACCTGAAGGAGTTACCATGGATAAGCTGGAGAGGGAGGTCTGAAGTTTTCTGCTTAGACTGCTGTCCCCGCGACCCGGTCGCAGATAAATGAAATGGGTAGAGAAAGTTTAGTTTGTAAAGAATGCAATTGTTTCCATGCAGGAAATCTATAGCAAAAAGAAGAGATGAGCCCTTCGTCACAGATGGTGTGGTCACCTGCAGGTTCAAGGTCATTGCATCTCCAACCCACATCGATAGCCACTGGACAATGTTAAACACTTTCTTCAGGAAATTGTATTTGGATCACCTAAATCAGGGGTCCCAAACTCCAAGCCTCGAGGGCCAGTGTCCTGCAGTTTTTAAATGTGTCTTTGATCGAACACAGCTAATTCGAATGGCTAAATTACCTCCTCAACATGTTTTGCAGTTCTCCAGAGGCCTGGTAATGAACTAATCATTTGATTCAGGTGTGTAGACCCAGGGTGAGATCTAAAACCTGCAGGACACTGGCCCTCGAGGCCTGGAGTTGGGGACCCCTGACCTAAATTCATGACAGTAATTCAAGCAGTAATGCCTAGACGGACAAACAAACCATCCTTAACCTCCTTGGACCTGACGTCCACATATGTGGACATCACATTTTGGGTTATTTAGACCAAAAAACTCAACACCATCTTACCAGATAACACCAGCTACAATATTGGTAATATGTGTGTTGTTCAGCAGAACATTGTCCGGTATGTTGGCTGATATACTTTATTTACCTTTGAAAATAAAAGTTGATCTGATTTTAATGAATTACAAGGAGTGTTTTTAATTATTATCTTTGAAATAAACATACAGTGCTTATATTAACTGCTGAATTAGAAAAAATAATGTGCTCTTAAAAACATTCATCTATTTAAAGACTACACAAGCTGTGTTAATTATAGTTATACCATAATCCTTTGTGTCAGCATGTGATGTTAAATATACATAAACAGTATGTGTTATCAAATGAAAGTGCAAAACTCATTGTTAGGAATCTCTACCTCTGATAACAAGTTTCATGCTTTTTCTAACTGAAAAATGAACTGAACTATGCATGAAACCACAATTCCTAAAACATGGATAACAGAAACATGAAACTGAAATAATAATCATCACAAGCACAACAAGAGAACAAAAAAACAATCCATGATGCAAAATTAATCCAAAACATAATAAACTCAAAATACTGGGTCCAACGGACCCAGAACCGTGACAGCTACATAGTACTTCAGTTAGAGTCATTGACCTTTTTTTTTCTACTCCACTGATTAAATAGGAGCATAGCCTAGAATGAATAGCCAATTATATGACCCTTGTCCAACATTTAATGGTTCAATTCATTGCCATTTTTTCCCAATTCACAGTTTTTTACATATATTTTATAAATTAATGTGCACAGTTTGTGTTGTTAGTATCTTTGTTAATTATCCCGTTTGTCTTTTAACCCTAACATGAAGCACTTTAGTCTTTCAATCAGTTTTTGTTTTCTCGATCTTATAGAATATTTCTTACACTTAAACACAAAACTTTAGGCTGCTTTGGGGATGAAGAGCAATACAGAGAGGAATTAGGCTAGTAACAAATGTGCAAAACCGACCCATACAACTCATGTGCAGTGATTTTTGTGTAACTATTATTAAAAATTGACACATCACCAACTAATTAAACATGAATGACTCAAACAGATTTTACACAGATGTGATGACTAACTGCTAAAAGGTTTTCTGTGGATACAAATGTATACAAATATTTGTGACATTCTTTTCTTTCACTTACAGATTGGTAAAAAATGTGTGCACGGGTTACCAGACACACACAGGTTACATTATATTTGTGTGCAGTTTTAACATTATATAGTATATTGTTATTAAAAATTATCTAATTTAGTAGCCATAGCCACTACCTTAACAAAACAGACAGGTAATTGCTAATGAGGAGCCAGGTTAACATTTATGTTAACTCTTCAATATTTCAACACTATTAAAACAGGAGCTTTACTCACTGCTGAAACCTCACTGTTTAGCTGCTAGTGAGGGGCGGGGCTGTGTGCCTGTCTGTGGTGATGTGTCAGTTGAAGGAGGCGCTGTTGGTCTTTTTAGTATCAATTATTATCTACTGACTTTTCTTTCTTTTAAAAATCCTCTTTTAAGACTCTGACTGCGCAAGCTTTGTTCAAGTGCTGTTGGAAAACTTGGACATCTGAGCTTTCCTGTGCATTTATGCATAGTGAACTGGTACTTATACAGAACCTTCCTATATTCAAGTTGAGCATTAAATAGCTTTCTACTACAAGTCATTATTCTACCAGTCACACACATTTCTGCAGTGCTCTAATCTGAGCATTTTTATCTGTTCACACACACTCACACTATAGCCTATAAAGGCAAATTAATGTTTTGGATAAGTTAAAGTAACAAGTTGTTCTTGTCAAGAGAATACAGCCAGTCCAAAATGTAGTGCACAGACCACAGAAGACAATTTCTGTCTACAGAGTGTAAATGAAGAAATCAAACAGTAGTTTCTCTGATAATCAAAGCAACAATCAACCAAAAGCTTCAGATAACTCATACTGACTGCAGTAAACAGAGTTACTTTGGAAGAAGAGAAAGTGGAGTGGCGGAGTCTTCATTGTTTTCTGTGCCAATGTGGAACAAACCTCTGATGGTTTTCAGCCATCCCTCTGCAGAGAAGAAACACAACAGTAAGTCAGATCACAGAGTCCTGGTAAATGCATGAAGTCACATGACTCCGATTAAGGTGACTGCTCTGTTTATTTTCTGTCAAAGTATACATCAGTTCTTGTGTTTTTATCACACTAACAGCATTTTCATGTGAGGTCACTAACCTTCACAGAAATATAACTGTCAATATTACTAATGGACATGAATGTGTTCAGCAGGAGCTTTTAGGTCATATTCTCTTATACTGACCATGAACCAAGAGCACCACCACTTGCTGCTCCAGGGTCTTTCCCTCATTGTCGCAGACGGTGCAGATGTAAACACCTCCATCTTCACAGCTAACATTTCTCAGAGTCAGACTGGCATTTCCTGTAGTCTGTGGGTCTTTCTTCATCTCTGTGCGGCGTCGGAACGATTTGTTGTTTTTATGATGCTGTGTCCGACCCTGCTCATATACGATTGCCTTGACTTCTTTATTTTGGATACGTTTCCACTCCACTATGATGTCCTCTCTCTTACATTTTTTGGATTCAAAGGGCAGCAGGACACTTTCTGCACCCTCTGTCACGTCCACTGCTTTGAGCTGGCAAACTGAGAGAGCAGAGAAGAACATCAACTGTAGCAAACAGCAGCAGTAAATCACTTTTTTTTTTTTTAAAAAAGAAACGTCTTTCTATAATGTGGATAACAGCAGGCTGTGTGGCTTAGTGGAGATCACATAATCACCTATTGCACGGAAGACTGGGAGGGGATAGAGATCTGTGGGAAGACTGTTTCAGGAAAGGCGTGCCAAAAATCTGTTAATCAGATATGTAAAAAAAAACAAAACGAAAGAACCATAACCAATGTGTTAATTCATCCTATCATATATTCAGGTTTTATGTGTGAAGATAAAAGTATAGGATACATATAATGCCTGACTGGTGCTGGATTTATTGGTATCTGACAGAAAATGTCTGTCTTCTCCATTCAAGCTTAAAGATGTCTTTCTTTTTTTTTTAGTTTAAAAAAAAAAAAATTTCCCACTTCATTCTACATGTCTTTGACCTCTTGTAGGAGATTGTATCAGTATAGCATTCCTCCATGAATATGTTTGCTTCTTATCAAGGGCAGCTTTTGTTCTTTTGAAGGCAACTGCACGGACAACATTCATAACTTGAGAAACTAAACTGTAAACAACATCAGTGAGGAACTGAAGGCAGAGCTTGTGGGTATAAATTAGTCTTCTTCCTTTAGGGGTCTCAAAATGGATCATCTGCCTCTTACAGCGTACACCAAACACCACATCTATAGCACTCTCTCTTGGCATGAAGTCCTACTGCTGCTCACTGATCATCACTCTTCTTCTTAGCCTAGCATCAACAACTATTTCCCATATCTTCATAGTATCGCTCTGTAGTTACTGAAGCTCTGCACATTTCCATTGTTCCTGAAAGTCAGTACCAGTACGTGTCATCAGATTTTAAACTGAAACTCTCAACATCCCCACAGGAGCTGGCCAGGTCTGCAACACACAAACACACACACTACCTGCAGTTTTCTTCATCCTTTTATATACAAGGCTCATGAAGACAGCAACAGCAGCAGCCAAGAGAACCAGGGGAATCAGGACAGCTGGGACAACTTTGACCCAGACTGGAGAAGGTCCTGTAAAAAACACAAGCAACCTGAACAATACCCACAGTAGTTTCACTTGTTCCAGCAGTATTTTAGATTTCTGAAATTTTAAAAAATGATTTTTTAGATTCGATGGGGAAATGTGGCATCCTGCAGGATTCCACTTTGGGACCATTTTGTTTTGTTGTTTTGACTGCCAGCAAGAAAAGGGACTGGCATGTTTTTGTCTAAACTTCTAGCTTACTTATCAGACATGTATATTGTCTGTTTGTATATTAGATCGATGAACACTGATTTGTAAATTATTATAACGTATTAAATGATCAAGATTAAATGTTCTGCTACTCTGTTCTTTTTGTAAGGCTACTGTTTTGTTTTGTTTTTTACTTTTTATCACGCTTACCTCTTTTATTCAGAGGTAAGCATGATGACATCTTTTCTGGAGGGAACCTTCAATAAACGTTGCAGTTGGTTGAAAACTGTTTGTCAGGCTATTACTGTAGTTGGGTAGTTTTTTTCATCAGCTCTGGTCACTGTTGATGGGCAAAGACACTTTTCATAGCCTGACCTTTGACCTTCAACTGTACTTCAGTTGTGTTCCTGTCCTCTCCGAAGCTGCGGGTGGTGCAGATGTAGGTTCCACTGTCAGAGACTGTAGGGTTTCTCAGAGTGAGGCTCAGGTCTCCAGTCTGCAGGGCTTCCTTCTGGACTGATGTTCTGCTGGTGTAACGAGGGTTTTGGTTTATAATGTCATCGTGTTCCTTGATGAGAGTGTGGATGATTGCAGGATTCAGATCATCACGTCTCCAAACAACTACATCGTCTTTAAATAAAGGAGCAGGAACCTGACAGGGCAGTAGCGCAGAGTCCTCCCCCTCATAGACCTCCACCTCCACCCCTGAGGCATGCTGGGAAACTGGGGATACAGAAACATGTTCACTCAGTTTCTGTTCCACAGAAAACACATATTTAGAGGCGAGGAGATCCAGATCAGGCTCACTAACTAACAAACAATAAGTACATCCAGTTTTCTTGCTTCTCTGTCACTATAGGGAAAAATTTGTGTTTCACCTTATTTAACTTCTGTGTACTGTTGGTGTGTGTGTAACTTTGTAGTGTGCGGATGGAAAACAACTCACTGTAAGCTGTGTTAATAGTTATGATGCACGTTGTGTCTTCATCTCAGGCTGGTGCCTACATGACTGTGAGAAGAAAACTATCTGCATCTAATAAGATAAAGTCTGTCTGTACAAGTCTCTACAATCCAGTTTGGTTTCAATGCTCAGTTTGTTTTATTTTATTTTATTTTATTTTATTATTTTTTTTTTTTGGGGGGGGGGGGATTTCTTGCTTAATTTCTTTTTTGCTTCCATTTCGCTTCAACCTAAAGTAGTCAAAATATTATAGGAATTAAATGTGTGGATGAATGAACCTGACTTTTCAGAAATGTTTCTTTCAGTATGAAAAATGAATGCAAAAATTAGAGAAGAACTGGAACCACTACAGGGCATTTACAACACTCGGGTCAGGAAGAGGGCACACAACATCATCAAGGACCACACCCACCCACACTGTTCACACTCCTGCCATCTGGCAGCATTACAGGAGGGTAAAAGCAGGGACAACCAGACTAAAACCCAGTTTCTATCCACAGGCCATCAGGCTACTGAATCACTGACTGATTGTTGAACTGTAATTATCTTTAACCTGTAAATTTGCAATTTTGTACATTTATATACAACATAACACAACTTCATACAATATAAACATCTTATTATTGCATATTTATCATATGCAAACATATCACTTGTTTTACGTTATTTATTATTTTCTATGCTCAGAGTTACGTTTATTCTTTATTTTAGTTAGTTGCTATTTAGTTGTGTGAAGGGAACCCACAAATGAAGAATTTCACTTCTCTGTGTAACTACTGTGTTTTGCTGTGTACATGACAGTAAACTTCTTGAATCTTGAATCCAGGGCATATTTGGACAAACAAGCTTTAACATCACCCAACCTCACCCACCCACACAAGGTCCTTCCAGAGAAACTGCATTCTGCTACTTTTTCCTACTGTTATTCAAACCAATAAATGACCACAAATTCAGTGCTGAGACAGACTCTGACTTTGTGACGTGTCATGAAATTACATCAGTTCAATCACAAATAACAGTGATCACTACAGAGAAGTGCTTTTCTTGGCATGACATTACATTGCTGTCAGTGGATACCCAAGTATACTGCAAAAAACAGACTCTGCTGTCAGACAGAGACAGATAGAAAAAAGCATGCAAGAGCAGCAATGGTACAACAAAAACAGCCACACTGGTTTACAAAAGGTTCGTTCAGAGTGCAGCCAATAAGAATCAATAATGGAATCAGAACAGGTAAATTCTTATCAATTCCCATCTGTAAATATGATCTGGGTGGGTGAACTTCCATAGGAATCTTGAGCTGTTCTGATTTCCTGAGTCTGAAGAACAGTTGGGCTCTGTTCCAGAAAACAGATCTGACTTTTGGTTCCATGACAAAGATCAGTGTTGATCATTGTCTTACAGTATGCGGCTAAAGCAAACAGTGATCACAGTAATGTGCATTAAATGTCTCATTGAGGAGGAGCAGGCTGTAAACCTGTCTTACTGTCAAAACAGTCACAGACGTTTAATTATGAAGACAAAGCTGGAGAAAGTAATTCTGACTTCACCATGTTCACCAGAGTTCATGAGTAGAAGCATTAAAACGTGACCTCTGTTCTGTAGCGACTGACAATGCAGCCAACAAAAACAGAAATAACTCACTGAATTGCACACAACAGGGGAAAAAGACTGGTACGTGTGAGATTTCCCACTATTTCTTGAAGTCAGTATGGCAAATACACTATACAGACAAGAGTACCACCTAAAAAAAACACATAGAGAAGCAGATCATCCAGTCTTTAAGGAGCTTACTTTGTGCACTATATACTGACCCAGCAGGCCTGTGCCAAATATGTATTTTAATAATAATAAATAATAATAATAATAATAATAATAATAATAATAATAATAATAATAATAATAATAATAATAATAATAATAATACAGCAGATTTTTTGTATCAATAACTTCTCAGTAATTCTGAGCAATCATTTCAGTTTGTTTTTGAAGGTTTGATCATATTATGTAAGCCGTTCTCCGTTTCCCTCTCCTGTGAACAGCTGCTCTAAATCAGATACAAAAACCGGAGCGGAGCAGCAGGAGGGAGACAGAAAGCTCTTACTCCTATTTAAACAGCTGATATATTTTTACACTAAACATCATGAATCAAGGACCAGCTGATCTTACTGTGAGCGAGGATCACAAACACCGGGACGAGCTTCATTTCCCACTACAATCGAATCCAGAACAAGCCGAACCGCTGCGCCGCTCAAAGCAAAAACAAAAAAGCAAAAAAACTTTCTCTTTCACTTTCCATTAGACTTTTGATCCCAATCCCCAGAGACTTAAAATCCCAGTGACTAATGGTATTGGCATAATAGCAATATTGATATGGTTTCACTGCATGTGTAGGCAGGGGTGGTAATATAGGGCCACCGTATTTCGTTTTTTGTTTGCCAAATGTCAGATGGGAAGACGGGAGGGTTAGAAAATGATTTTTTGAGCACTTTTGAAGTTGTTAAAGCAAATTAAGTTAACTTTCGTTTAATTTTAAGATTTAAGAAGTTATTTGGTTGATTTTTGTTTATAATTTTGCACGAAATAAACCACATATGATTTTTAAACAATGGAGTCAGAAGTGCGTTCTAAAACAAACCTCCCGTTGCCACCCACGGCCTTTTCTTGGACTTTTTTGGTGTTTGGAACGTAAAAGGCCGCGACATTTAAGTCAAAAAATCATTTTGACTCGCTTCGATGTCAACTTGGAAGATGGGAAAACTTGCAAGATTGGACTTGGAAGATTGGACCTTCGTGAGTAAATGCGAAACTTTGTTTGGATCAACCGAGATGCTGAGCTGCAACTTGAAACATTTGTATTAAACAATTATCTTTTGGACCTTGTGAAACGAATTTTCTGGTTAAAATGGAGGAACAAGAAAGAGAGCTTTTTAATTTAATTAAAAAACGCAGAGCGAAGCTTGGCGTTCTGACAAGAAAGCGAAATGACATTAATGCTCTCATTGATGCTGGAGAATCAAAAGCCTCCATAGATGAACACATGAGAACATTTAACGATTATTTGGGAGAGTTTATGGACTTACAGACTTCAGTTCAAAAATTGCTGAACGATGAAGAAACAGATCACAGCGATTGGTATGAACCTAAGCTGATCAGTTTTAAAGACTTTCTGCATGAAATCGACACTTGGATGAATGCAGACCCTGATCCACAAAAGGATGAAGTTGCAGCCTCTAATGTTGAATCAAAGGTAGCATCTCATGACAGTGACATTGCGCCGCATGATAGTGTCTCACAAGTAGCGCAAGAAGCGAGCGACATGATTTCTGAACGAGTTGCTAAACCTGTCAGCAAGGGCTCTAGTAAAGCGCCCAGTAATGTTACTGCAGCCTTAAGTTTAAGGAGTAAAAGCTCGCGTGCGGCTTCAATTGCGCTGATGGAAGCTGAAGTGGAAAGAGCCGCTTTAAAAGCGGAGGTGGACGCACTGCAAGAAAAACATGCGCTCGAACTGGAAGAAGTTCAATTAAAAGCAAGAAAAGAAGCATTGGCTCTAAGAACTAAGTTGGTTAAGGCTGATGCAAAAAGGCAAATTCTCACCTCTGCTCAGGATCGGCAGAGCCTTGCATCCAGGGCTGAGGTTGAATCAGAAGGCGGGATTACAGCGCCTTCTGGAACATCTACTGAGTTCATACCTGCTGCTACAGCTCGAAAGGCTCCAAGAACAAAGAAAGCCCCTTTAGTTCATTCTCCTTTGCCAATGCCCCTAGAGACACATGCACCTGCTAAGGTCAAACCAGAAGGGGAAAGCCCAAGGCCAATCTCTTCACAGGTTGATGTTCACAGCAGTGCCCTAATAGAGATTATGACAAAGCAAAATGAAATTACTCTTACTGAGATGCTTGTAAACAAACAGAGGTTGTCACTGCTTCCAGCAGAAGAAATTCCTGTTTTTGGTGGTGATCCTTTGCATTTTAGATCCTTTCTTAAGGCGTTTGAGCAAGGAATAGAAACTAAGACTGATAACATGCAGGATAGGCTTTATTATTTAGAACAGTTTACTACAGGACAGCCCAGAATTTTAGTGAGAAGTTGCATGCACATGAGTCCACAGAAAGCTTATGTTGAGGCAAAAAAGCAGCTTGAGTGGAATTTTGGTAACAGAGCAAAGATAACGTCTGCATTTATAGACAAGGCTCTCAACTGGTCAGTTTTAAAGTCTGATGATGCTTCAGCGTTACACATTCTTTCTAAGAAGCTGCTTCAACACAATGGATGAAGCCAGGTTTCTTGATGAGCTGAAAAATTCAACCAATATGAGGATTCTTGTTTCAAAGTTGCCTTTTAGACTTCGCGATAAATGGCGAATAATAGTCATTGATATAACAGAAAAGTGAAATCGCAGAGCAAGATTTAAAGATCTTCTTGATTTTCTTGAAAAGCAAACAAGAGCTGCATTAGATCCTGTTTTTGGAGAGAGTCAAAACACAAAAGAAAAGATGGCTTCAAAGGCACCGTTTAAAAACTAAAAGCAGTAGCTTTGCTACTTCTGTTGCTGTAGTTTCAGAACAGAACAATGACAAACACAAACTGGAACGTATTCAAATAAGCCATGAAGATAAAGGGTTGGATCAAACTCGGTGCTTGTTTTGTAACCAAAATCATTTTTTGAAGTATGTGACTCATTCAAACTAAAAGCCAACAAAGAAACGGTGACATTCCTTAAGAGTAAAGGTTTATGCTTTGGTTGCTTACAGAGAGGCCACATAAGTAAATCTTGTCCACATCGTTTGACGTTCCACACCTGTAATAAAAATCACCCTACTGTTCTCCACATAGACTCAAAACAACGGCAGTGGCAAGCAGCTAAAGCTGTCTGTAAAGAATCATTAGTCTCAAATGCTCTTGTTTCTTTGAACTTTGGTAGCCATACTGGGGCCGGGGCTAATGAATGTGCCTTGTCAGTTATTCCAGTAAAAGTGAAGTTGGAAAATGGGACGAAGGTTATTGAGACATATGCCTTTCTTGATCCTGGCAGCTCTGCAACTTTTTGCACCGAGGCGTTGATGATGCAGTTAAATGCATCTGGAAAGAAAGTGGAAATCATGTTAAAGACTATGGGTCAGGAAAGGCCAGTAAGTAGCTATAAACTTTTTGGTATGGAAGTAGCTGCTTTAAAACAGAATGAGTATTTGAGGTTGCCTGATGTTTACACTCAAAAGGCTATTCCGGTCACTAAAGAAGAAGACTTAACAAAATGGCCTTACTTAAAAGATGTTGAGTTGACACTGATAAATGCTGGCATTGGGCTGCTTATTGGTGTAAATTCTCCAAAGCACTAGAACCTTGGAGAATCATTAACAGTGAGGGTAATGGACCCTATGCTCTGCTAACTCAGCTTGGTTGGGTTGTCAATGGGCCACTCAATCAGGGTAGTGAAAAGGATGAGCATGATGCTAGTTTTGTCCAGGTAAACCGCATTTCTATAAGTAGTTTAGAAGAAATGCTGGTTAAACAGTTTAATCAAGATTTTGTGGAGAACCAGTGTAATGAGC